TTTTGAAATGGGGATGGGAGTGGAGAAAATGTTGAGGTGAGAGTCACTACTGGGGACAACACCCAGACCTGAAGGTACAAGAGCTAAAGCCTAAAAGCACAGGTTTGTCAGGACCTGCCATCTGAAATAAGACTGAAATGAGAACATGCGCACACACATACCCATACACACCTGCCTCCTCCTGTTTCTTCATTCAAGGTTTCTAAAGATAAGATGACCTAGTTTCATAACCCAGTTTAAACCAATCCTGCGTGAAGATTCTGTTTCCCTAATCTTGTTCCTGAACCAAGTGGTGAGGTGGTGTATAACTGTGTTTTGTTTCTACCTGCCTAGGAGAATGCAGTTATTTTCTTAGCATTGTCAACTAGAGGCAAGAAAATATGGTCTGGACTTAGAATCTGGCTTTGTTTGTGTTGATCCTATTTTCCATAGCCCTCACGATTGGAGGAAATTTTCCAAGGAGGGAGGGAAAAATGAACTGAAATTAAAATCGACGTTAAAACCAACATGCCCTTTAAGAAAGATCTGGATGACTTTTTCACCATTGCTTTGAAAGTTGTTTTAGGCAGTGTAATGGGCAAAAACAAATTATAAAACAGTGGAGACAGAGACCCACCTCCTATGCTCCCTGCTATAATACTAAAAAGAGGGGAAAAAATATCTAAGTATGAATTAAGTCTCCATCATAGAATGAAGCATATGACATTTAAGAGAAGACACACATTATCTATATAACAGACATACTTCTACAGGGGCTAAATCACTCTAAACCGGAACCTTGGATTCCAGCCCAGGAGATGAGAATTTTTTTCCTTTTTGAGTATTACTCCCTTTCTGGCAACTTAGCTTGTTTTCCCAAAAACTGGTTTGGTCAACATGCATGATACGGTGTGTCCATGGAAGCAGCCCCTACAGGTTGTCACCATAAGGGTGAAGGGTGGTAAGTTGGGAGGAATGAGATCAGACCACTGTTGTACTCCAAGACTTAATTAAGTGTGTCATACTAGGAAAGAGATTTTTAAAGAGTTACTTGGTTTCAAATAGCATAAACCCGTTTCTTTTTTCAAAAGAAGCTTTGGACTCTTGTCTACCAATCCTTTCAGGAACTGGAGATAATCTGAATGCTGGTCAACTCCCACTGAAATGTCCACTTCTCACCAATTTAATAGAAAAGCTGCCCAAATCAGTTTGTCCCCTGATCTCAGCAGCCAAATAGCAGGTAGGCCTATGATCCCATGCTCTCCATTGTGAAGAAGAAAAACTGGGCAAAAAACTTGGTCCCTCCCTTCAAGGAGCCTGAAATCGACCTGAGAACCTGGACTAAGAAAGCAACTAAAAACCACTAATTTGATTCTAAGGTTTCTAAGACAGTGCACCATGGGTAGAGGCATTGTGAGGAAGCAAAGCAAAAAGTGAATAAGATAAACAGAATTAGGCCAGTTGAAAAGATGAGTATGACTTGGCACAGAGCAAGAGAGGAAATCTCTATAGGAAATAGCAATTTCCACATGTGTCTACTGTTGTCAATAGAAGGCTCAGGCACCATAGTGAAGACTGATTTGGCTACTCCCCACACATCAACATGCAGGGTTCTATCCCTGACATGCATGGAGGGGCAGGTTTTTGCTCAAGGAGCAGGAGAGAATGTTCATGAAGAGTCACCAAGAAAATGAGATCATATGAGAGACACAATCTGATAAGTCCTCATAACCATTTGAGTAAATCATAGCAAGAGGGAAGTTTTGGGACTTTGAGAAACAGCTAAAAATAAGAGAGAGATAATATATATCACTAAGTAGGTAAATGAGAATATGAAAATGAGAATATGAATACTTTAAGTAAATTATTAAGTTTGCATACCCAACACATCAAACCGATTCCTACAACAGGATACACCTGGCCAAAGTACACAGGTGCCTACAGTCTAGGCTCACCAAATCAGTGCACCCCTGTAGGCAGGTTGCTCCTTAAAGCCCTTTGCACAAAGATATTTATGGAAATCATTGTGCCCCTTCTAAAGGCTTTGGCACAAAGTCAAAACAGGACCCCTTTGGGATTCTACCATAAGTAGAAATGTAGGGACTAAGTTTTTAATTCATCCTGATTTGTCTTGCAACTTCAGATGTACCACAAACAGCTTTTTGTATCTGTTTTTCCGCTGGTGAAATGCAGAGAGGGGAGGTGACTTAAGTCAGGGGCTCAGAGTCCTATAAACCTTTGAGATGACCCTCATCCCCCTAAGGCCACCCCCTCATTTGGGAAACATAAAAGGCTCCAAGCCAAATCAGAGATCAGTAAATAGTAAAAGTGAGTAAGTGAATTTTGATCATTTCAGTGCCGTTAGTCCAGAGAATGGGCTGATAGAGGGGGCATAGGTGGTCGTGCTGCTTTTCCACAGGGAGCCAGGCAGGGGGTGAGATGAGGGAATGACAGAGACAAGTCACGCCCATGGCCTGAACTCACACTTTAAGCAGAACAAAGAAAATCCTGGTTCAGCAATGTGAACAAACCAGCAAACTAAGGTGACATAAATCAAATTAGTGAAAAGCACATTTGTTAGGAAAAGCCAAAAATTTTGAAGCAAGGGCAAGTCTTAGAAAAAAAAAAAAGCTTTAAAATGTTTTTTAACCATCTGCTTCTTCCTCTCTTCTGAGAAAAATGTTTTATAATGATCATAATAAGGAATCAATCATAAATAAGGAATTGTAGTGTTGGTCACTGTTTGGCTTTAGTTCGCTAACAGCAGTATCAGTCCACAGTTAATTTTTTTCTCAGTCATATCTTTATAGCTCCTTACACGTCAGATCTTCAAATATGTCCTCAGATGGAGTGTCTTCAGAGGAAGCTTTCAGTGCTCCCTCCATTGTTAAACATCTCCAAAGTGTTTCCTGCCATGCCATCGTTTCACTGGGGCGCCATGACAGGGTGCCCACAATCAAAGGAGAGGGAGGAAGAAAGAGCTTAGCTCTTACTTGCTCTTCTCCTGCTATGTAGTGCAGCCTCCCACCACTAGCCCAAAATACCATTTTGGTGAGATATTAGAGTGCATACATCTCTACAGGAATCAGAAAATAATACCTTCTTGCTAAGCTTCAGCTCAAGCAGGACACTTCTTTTTAAAAGTATTTTCTGATAACTATTTCCACCATCAAATAGAGATGGAGCATCCTTCCTGGCACTCCATGACTCTGGGCTTCTCTATTCTAGGTGTCACCACCCTATATTCTTGCTACTGATTTTTGTATGCTGACTGCTTCCTGAGCTTCTCAGAGGCAGAAATCCCATCTTCCTCATTTTAGAATCCCAAGGAACCACCACAGGCTCTAGCACAAAGCAGGGACTCAAATATGTGATGAATTACTGAATTCATCAACTATATTATTTCTGATTAAATAAATCTGCAGGCTGCACAGTTGACAAAGAACTTTCACTCACCCTTACTGCCATATTTGATCCTAATAACACTCAAGAAGTCCCCTTTAGGGAGGGGCTACAATTGTCCCCATCTATAGATGAGGACACTCAAAGAAATCAAGTAACTTGACTAACATCACCCAAGAGGCAAAAGGATTTAATGACTTTTTCTATGTCAGTGATTTAAACTATCCTTCATTAGAATCCTACCTCTCAAATAGGGTCCTACTACTTGGGGGTCAGAGGGTTATTTATGCATCATAAACACTAAATTCGCTGGTTTGGGTCCCTGATTCCCAACATTTTCACTATTGGATCAAGGATGATGCTCTTTGATCTTATTTATCTGCTTATTTACACATGTAACTCTTTTTAATTATATAAACACTGGTATAAATATACTCCATTATGGTTTAAGAGTTTATTAAGTCACTGTCCCAGAATATAGGGAAACTCCAGGAAAGGAGCATTCATCCTAAGCACCAATCCAGCACATGCAGGTGCTATCGGAGCATTCTCACGACCCTATCATGGAAAAAGCTGCATCTCAGTTAAGTCCAGTCTTCTTCTAGGTAGGCAGCGTACATTGGCATGAGTCCAGAATGTAAAATAAGAATGTCAGTAAGTGTGTGCTTGGGAAAGAGGAAGAATTGTTTTAATATAAAAGGACATTAAGTCATGACAGATGGGCTAAAAATATATATTTTAATTAAAAAACCACTTTTCCTTTCCCCCACCCTGCCATGCTCTTTAATATGGGATAACATGAATTATCCCCACTGTTCAACGCAACTACAAATGCCAAACAAGAATCACCATCAAGATCAAACTGGCAAAATTTTTAGGGCAGTCCTCCTCTACCTTCATGCTGTTCTGTACATTCATTCCTTCAAGGAAGGGACAAAGCCTTTCGGTACACAGTTATAGATGTCTTTGACCAAGAACGTGATTCACTGAAGACCCTCAATAAATGTATTCTAATTAATTTAAGAACTTCAGAATGCAATCTTCAGCTCAAGTTAATAGCTTTTGTGTATGTCTTTTGGTTAAAATTGTTACTATACTCAAACCACTGATACCAGACCCATCTACCTTTGTGTTAAGGGCAGAAGTATATCAGACAGGAGGGCATGAAGTACCTAAAATGTAAAATGAAATCATCTTGTATCAGGGAAAACAAAAACAAGAAAACAAGCACCTAAAAGGAAAAGAAGGCAGTTTGAGCTGAGGAAATTAAGCTTAGATGCCATGATGTTGCTAAGAGTAAGCTCTATTCATCATCAAGTTGGCAAGAACCAATAAAGTATGTGCACAGAGATACTTTTTATCTCACAGCTGCAAACCCAGGCAGTAGTGCCTCAAATAATTCATGAAGTTTTTATTTTAGTCTGAAACACATCTGATTTCATACAAAGGAGCTATGTTGCTGGAGGTTTGCAAATGGAGCTATGGCTTAGGTATTTGAAGATTGGTCAGTGAGCAATATTGAAAATTATTAAGCCTTGCTTCATAGCCATAGGGAGCCCGAGAACGAGAGAGACACACATGCAATTGAATTATGTTGAAATGAAAAAGCCAACACCTACACTCCAGTCCAGAGTCGCTCTGGGCTCCTTTGCTGGACCATTTGCCACAGGAAGGCTGAGGGGATGTGCAGGAGCCAGGTGTTGCAGGCCTGCCCGGGAGATTGCTTTCCTGCAGCCAGAAGAAAAAAACACAAAGAAAAACCAACATCAGAAGGTAATACACAGTTAAAAACTTCCCCTGGGGTAAAAACAATGCCTGAGTTAGTCTTCCACATACGAAAACCTTTGCAAATGTATTGGAATATAGGTCTCTAAAGTGCATGGTGAAGATAGAGGCTGACAAATCTCAAAAGACAGCAGGGAGCCTGAGGGGATCACTTGGGGGGCAGTATTGCTTCAGAACCAGAAATTAAAATGTAAGTCCCTATTTAGGGTAGAGGGCAGAATGCTGGTCTCTCTGTCTACAAAAAAAAAAAAAAAAGAGAGAGAGAGAGATCTAGGGCTTGGGTGGTCACAATACTTGGACAAGTTTAAAGCTGTCAGAGACAAAAGTTAAGAAAAGAAGAAAAGTAGGCTCCTGGGGTCTTCTGTTGAAATTCTATTTCCCAACAAAGTGCTCTCCAAGCTGGTCACAGGGCCAAGTTCAGTCTTGCTCCTCTCAAGAACATCCTTCCTCATCCTTGCAGAGGACTTCTGCAGATAGCTTGAAGTTCCAAGTGGGAAAAGACTGATTTGTATCTGCCAGGAAAAGGCACCTGCTAAAAGACCACTATCTTACAAAGGCCCACGGAGAGATAAAACCAAAGCATGTTGCTTAGGTTGCATTTGTTAAAAAGAACATAACAGAATGCAGGTCGGAAAGGACAGAATGAATCAGGAGAGGTTGAGAAAGTCAGCCCTGACCTTGGTCTGCAAAGATAAGAAATAAGAGGAGTTGCTTTAGCAAGCAAATCTAACAACTACAGGAAAAAGGGAAGGGAAAGGAGAGGAGAGCCCGGTGGACAAGTTGAGAACTGCAAGATAGAGGAAGAAAGCAGGGAGATTCTGTGGTATCACCATTAATAACATAAGTACAATTTCTGAACAACTCCTTGAAAAATGCCAGACAAGGGTCTCAAGCTTAAATATAAGTACCGATTCATGAATTAACTAAGTGGCTCCCTGGAAAGGAGAGGGGTTTTCCCTCCATAGCCATGCCCACGTGTGCTTTGAGAACGACCTGAACTAGACTCAGGTGGGTCTGTGACCCTGCAGCTGAGTCCTGGACAGATTTGAGGGCGAAGCCCAGGAATCTGCATGTATACATGCTTCCTCCTGTGAGCTAGTTTTCAAACTGCTCAGTGGGATTGTGGAGAGACTTTAATCTAAAGAGGATATGAAATGGAGAATCTTCCACATACACCCTCAGGAAAGCAAAATTTAAGAACTTAGAGACTGATTTTGGTTAATGCCTGCTTTACAGAAGACTGGAAACCTATCCCTCAACCAATGAACATCCACCAAGATTGTCTCCCCATCCTCAAGCCACTGAACTTGCTGCTTGAACTCAGGCTAGACTCCCTGCTCTTCACACTCCTGGCCATAAAAACAGCCAACCCCAAACTGCTACATGGACTTGCCTGCAGCTTGCTACAGTTTTCATTTCCTGAATTGCAACTCCCATGCTATTCTCAAATAAACTCAATTTCTGATAATTTGAGCTTGCCTTGTTTTACCTCTTTATTTAGGTTGACAATAGCAAGTACATTTGGGCAAGTGGGGGAGCACTAACTTACCCAGGACCCCTGAAAGAAAGCATCAGTAACTTCATTATGCACTTTACACCCACTAGCTCTCAGCATCCTATCTCATAGGATGTGAACGCTGCAGTAAGAATCTGCCATCCTGGACCCTGGACTTGCAGACACTTGGATTCCCCAGGGAGGCCCAGATCCTCAGACTCCTTCACCGATCTCACTATAAAAAAGGAACAAGGCTGCAGACAGGTAGATGGGGAAAAGGGAGGCAGTGATGGCCAGATGTATGGTGAATCCCATCATGACTGAGCCACTGCAAGGAACTTGCCCAGGAAAGGAGGAGGAATAAGAATAAAACATAAAAGCTCTGTTAGAATCTAGGGGCAGATGATCTCTCTTCTCTGTTCATTGATCTCTGCAAACTCCACCCAGAAATGGAATTTGTAATTGACCAAGATAAACAGTAGCCTCAAAACCCAAAGAAAGGCTTGGTAAAATCCAGAAAAGAATCCAAGATTGTGCAGCCACTGATCAATGGCCAAGTATGTCTAAGAGCTTAGCAAGTGCCCAGCCCCTTCCCCCCATCCCTTATTCAGGAAGTCTTAGAAATACCGTAAAGGTCTTTAGTATTTGGAAGTGATCACATCAAGCCTGCCAATAGCCTACTTTCAGAAGCTCCCACTGGGTAGCACACAATGTACTTGCTTTATGTAATCCCCCAAAGAGTCATTACAAGTATGTAGACCTTTAATGAAGACATTCCGATGACACAATCTTCTCTTTCCTCATTTTCATCAAGGCAAATAATTAACAACATCCATTCTGGCCCCTTTACTGACACCAACTCTTTTGCGTTCCCAGAGCCAATTCCAAAGTTGGCAGCCAGGTGGGGGGTGAGGAGTGGGAGTTGGGAGATTCCCCCAACATCAAGCAATTCTCAGGTATCAGCAGGGTGTCCCAGAATTCAACTCAATTCTGACACGAGCTGGCATCAGATTCTGTAGGTTGAGGGTTCAGCCTTAAAATACTACTTCCCACCCCCCCCACTTCTGACGCCAGTCATAACCCCCAGGCTGTCACCTGTGCTCCTGGCCACCCAGCTACAGATTGTAGGTTCCAATGACCTCCTCCTTAGGTTTGATTCATTTGTAAAAGTGGCTGAAAGAACTGACAGAAACACTTATTTACATTTACCCATTGAATAGAGGATACGATATAGGATATGAATCAACAGTCAGATGAAGGGATACAGGGGTGAAGTACAGGAAGGAGTGTGGAGCTTCCATGCCCTATCCAGGGCCCTCACTCTCCCAGTACCTCCAATGCTCACCAACCTGAAAGCTCTCTGAACCCCATCCCTTTGGGTTTTTATGGAGGCTTCATTATATAGGCATGGTTGATTGAACCATTGGCCATTGGCAATTGATTCAACCTTCAGCCTCTCTCTCTCCTCCCTGGTGGGAAAGGGGGGTAGAACTGAAACTTCTGACCCTCCCATCACAAGATTGGTCCTCCTGGCAAACAGCCCCCACCCTTGAGTGGGGTACAAAGCCACCTTCGTTAACATAATGAAAAACACCTCTTTTGCCCTTATCACAAGTTTCAGGAACTGTGAGCAGATATCTATGGATGAAGAACAAATACATATGAGAAATCTATATTTGGTCATTCAGTTGACCAAATGTATGTTTCTTATAAATCACAATATCACAGCCCTCCACCCCAAAGTATATCCCGTTCCACTGAGCAATAAGAAAAGAACACTGGAAGATTCTCTCTTCCAGGAGCCCTGGAAGGTGCTCCTTCAGGGCCCACACATTTTTCTCCACCTGAGTTCAAGGAACCTCTGTCATATTTTTCTTTAGGACTTTTCTCTGGCTTTGGAGGAGGCTATATGTGATTCTAAGTCACGGCTTTCATCACAAGAATATCAGATCTCTGTGGAGTCAGAATCTACAGGTTCCATCTTTGATTCCTTAAAACACAACCTAAATTTAAGTACTCTAACAAAAAAAAAAAAAAAAGTGCCAAAGCACAAGGCCTTGGAAGAACTGAAGAATCCCTAAATCTTGAATAAGTGAGGAAAATACAAGCCCTTCATGTCTTCATGCACAGCCGCAGAGAGCTGTGATGAGAATAAAAAAGAAGGGAGGGAATACAATTCTGCTCGTACAGTGGAAACCACAGGATAAATGAGCTTAACTCACTAGAAGTTGTTGACTCTGACCACCAAAGCCTGTGTTCCTAATTAAAACAGCCAGGAGGGACACACTGCCAAAATAACCAAATTAGGGTGAAGGGCTACGTGTGTCTCTATAAGAGCCACATGGCAAAAAAAAAACAAAACACATGGCAATAAAAGGAAAGACATACATACCTTCAACCCTGAGTAAGCCCTGCAATGAAAGTACGGTCAAATGGCACTCCTGCCCGGCCCGTGAATAGAAACAATAAGTAAGGGCTTTTGCTGCTTATTTATCCCTCATTGTGGATGCAAATTTAAGGTTGGTTTTCTATAACATTAATAGAGGAAAATTGTATATGTACGACACACCTAAACACTTATTTGGAGGAAAATAAGTAGGAATCATCAAAGTGGTGCCGGTGTATAACTGCAAATGGGCCTCGCAAGAAGATATTACCTAGGAAGGAGGACAGGAAAAATACCTGCAGGTACTATAGGGAAGTAGGAGGTAACTTCTGATTACAGCCTTTTCTATCTTTCTAAACAACCATGTGAGAAAATCCTTTTCTTGAATAGCTCATATATGTATACACCTTTTGTTCCAAAATAAGAAAGCAATTTCACTATTTCTCAGACCTCAAATAAAATTAGTATAAGTTATTTTTCTATGTGGGTTCATCTTGGTTGTAGGAGATGACATTTAAGAGTGGTAGGATTTGGGGTGTGTTGAGGTGGCAGGGGTTTTATGTTACAATATGCTCCAGTAAAAAAAAAAAAAAAATCAATGGGGTTTCAACTTCTTATTTTTGACTCTGGCCCAGAATCTTCCCAAACCCACAGTCAGTGAGACAGTGAGACGGCAGTGATTCTTCCTATTAATCTTATAACAACACTTTGCTGGGATGACTATAATGGCAAAAGAATCTTTGAAAAGGAGACTGTGATATTAACTGTGAAATAGATACGAAAAGAAAATATTTTATAATGCGGTTTCAGGCGCACAAAGTCATGGTTAATGTCAATTACCTGCCATGAAAGACCTCAAACATATTTAAAGTATAAAAGCCATAGTACATTTTAAATAGCATTCTATTATTTCCTTTACTTCATTCAATAAGACTACAAACTCCTAAAGGACAGGGCTCAATTCATCTACTAATCTTATTACATTCTAGCCCTGGGGTAGACACAGCAAATATTCAATAAATGCCTTCTGAGTTAATGAATGAACTTGACCAAAGAGCTAAG